ACTTCAGTTTGCAAGAGTCAGAAACCAGATGTCCCTTTCCCAGGAAACTCCCTGATAAATTTGTGTGCAGCTCTGGATGTGATTGCTGATATTTTCTGGTTGTTTTTCGGTGTTAATGTTGGCTTTTCCTGACATTTCTGATAAGAAAGCAGCTGTGGATTCTGTTCAGGTCCTGGCCACTGCAAATTCTTTCTAAAGTTGACAGTAGATAGGAGTGGAAAGGCGTTGAAATGACCGACACTTTGACCTTCATAATAATACAGGGATCAGAAAGAAGTGGCGGGATTTGTGGGCGGTAACCTGTCATGTAACCTATTGTTTGCAGTTTATGTATTTGAACAAGTTTCTGTAGGCTTTCTACCTTTGAGCAGTCGCATGTGACAGAAACATGAATGACATAGAGTAAAAACAGAGAACAGATGGAAAAATGGCTAAATTTACTTCTCAATAGTTGGTGTTTTAGCAAAGACTGTACATAAAAGATGTACTGTGACATTACCCATTGTAGGCTCAGATTTTAGAGCCCCAATCAGGCCATAACTATTTTGTCTTCTGAGTAAAGATACAGACTGAGAAACAGAGCTGTGCTATATCATTGTCATCTTTGATGACCATTGATAAAGGTGTCATATGACAACATCAACGATGTAGCGATGCCATACGTTTACTTTTCCCTTTTTTTCTGTTTTATTATGTGATAATATTGTGCATCTCCTCATTATGTACAAGGTTAAGCTACTTTAGTTACTGTTAAACTTATGCTGTGTCACTACTACTGCACTACAATGCTGCTGCTGGTACCTTGACAGACTCACACTTACTAAGTAGTCTATCATCAATCACAGTAGCTCACTGTAAAAGAATGGAAAATGTACTTTAATTTGTTTGCAACTATAACTCCATTGATAAAACACCCTTCAGTCCTTTTTCCCACACAACCATAAAAATCATTATTTCCTTTAAATACCTGGATATAATTTTAAGTCTATATCACCTCCTAGCCAAGAACAGCCAAGAACAGAGCAAACTCAGTGCAATATTAGCATAAGAATTACTCAAACCCTAAAACCGTACGTTGAATAATCATCTATTTTACTTTAAAAAGAAAGTATATCCTGTTGTGTTAAATAAGATGTCAAACTTGTGATAGCATAAACTCACTGGAAAGGTGTTTCCTGAGGTCTTGATCAAGTGAATACCAGAGGAATTTTCCTGTAAACTTCTAAACAATGACTGCTTTTTGTAACCAGAGTACTCGCCACTCTATTGGCCAACAGAAATAATGCAGATTTAAGGCACTTGCTCAATTCAGTTCACAACAGTGATCACTTCTAATATTATAAGACCTGACAATACGAGGCAAAAAGAAAAAAAGAAGAAAGCTCAAATATCTAAACAACTGTTCCCCAAATTGCTCAAAACAACAAACAGTTGATCTACTACAATGCTGTACTAATAATACAGGTTATATGAAGGTTAACGGATCAATTAATTGCCCAGTTTGAGCACTAGATTTGGGATACTGTGACTAAAACGTGAAGTTGTTTTAACATCAACCTCTAACTACAATCAATCGGTTCATTAAGTCCAAAAATGCTGAGAAATAAAAGGTCTCTGAACTCTTGATGCTAATTGAAGCCAAGCTTTAAACTGAGTGACCATGTGACACGAATAACTGTCCTTACTTCTAGTTACATTAGACAAATGACAAAAACAGCAGTATTACGTAAAACTGGTGCCCAAGCATCGTGGACAAAGAATAAATGTCCTCATTAGTGTTAAGTGCTTTGCTCATATGTTTCCTAATACCCATTCATGGTATCACAGCATGTCAGATCGCTCCGAGGAAGCTGTCAGCCGCAGATGTCAATACCCCTGCTGACCCTGCTCCCTCCCCCCCAAACCATTGCACACATGGCACTGGAGGATTGTCCCCCCAGAACAAAGGAGTGGGGGGTTTCTGTGGAGGACGAGCAACCAAACATTCCCGTCACAATGGGGAGAGTGGCCGGCAGGTTCAATTAGCACACACTTTAAATTGTTCTCTATACGAACCCACTGTTCTTGAACAAAGCTGAACCTCCACACTCTAATGGGGTATTTGGTGATGCAGTTTGTTCTTGGCACTATGGCATTTTAAGAGAGTTTCTTCTATTATCTCCTTTGTTTCTGCCCATGTTACCTGACAAATAAAGCACTCGGGACAGAGATGATCAGACTGGAAGACTCATGGCTTTTATTGTCATCACAAACTTTATCCAAGAAAAAAAAAAACTGGACAAATCAATCTATACTCTCTTCAAGAACTAAGTGTCACCAAAAGTCCAGTGAAACCCTTGAAGGATGTTTTATTAGGTGGCAATGTTCATTCATTTAAGAGGATTTTCAAGCCTCTTAAGGTTAAGATCACACTGAATAAAAAATAAATAAATAAAAACTATTCCTCAATTACATGGTGATTCTTCCAGAAAGCAAAACGAGCTCAACTTGTGACGATGGCATTTCCCTTGATATCAATATTCACATCGTGCAGTGCATTATTGATGCTCTGAGCTGATAGGGCATGAATGAGGATCTCTTGCAGTGACATGTTCTGCAGCACTGACAGTGATTTGAAGCCCAGACCTTCGTGTCTGTCACGGCTGCTCATAACTGCCCGGAAACCCTGAGCAGATTTCAACAAATCGGACGTTTAACATAATCAATAAGCGGAGGTAAGAGCGATCAATAAAACACGCCGGATGCGCAGAGCAGCTGGAGGGTGATGTCTGTAATCTGAAGTACAGGGATGAAGATGTAGCCGACTTACCTACTGCACAAGGTGCGCCGTAACGTCGGGCAGCCTGCTCGGCGTATCCGAGTGAAATGCAACCCAAAAGCCGCCGTGTCACACTTCACACCATCCGGGCGCACATGTTGCCAGTCCCCGCACAGAAATGTCCGAATCATGAGCTGCAGCGAGAAGCCAGTGGAGCCCAGGCAGCGGACTGCAGGAGCCGACCGTGTCGCTGTGGGTCCCCCGGCCCCTGGGAAGCGGCACTGTGCGTCCAGGCGCTGGACTGCTACATGCGCAGGGCGCCACCCTTCGCTGGACCTCTGGACCCCTCTGCGTCCACCTTTCCTCTCTCAGCCCCAACGCCGTAAATAGCGGGACGTGAAGCAACCCCCTCCCAGCCTCAAGGCAGCGTAATCCGCGGCCACGGGTAATGGAACTGTGATCCGTGATCTCCCCTTAATGCTTGATGCGCAATTAAGAGGCGCGCAGGACGCCGGTGCCACCCACCACAGGAGGTTCTCGTGGTGAGCGTACGGACGGGGAATTTTAATGAGGACTGCTGCAGAGTTTTCCTCCCTGGTCGCAGGGTCGCGCTGAAATCCCCCGTCCCAACACGAAACCCCTAAAGTTAGCTTATAGAAAGAGGACCGCGTGACGCAGTGAAACGTCAGTGAGGCTGAACTCTTGGCCAATTGCCAGTCAGCAAAGTGGGACGTTAGTCCACCTCTGTGGGACACCTGTTGATGGAAAACTGTTTCAGACATCCACACTTCCTGGAGCGGGACCTGTGAATATTAATATCATTGTCGTGTCCAGCTGCAGAGCTCCGGGATTTTTATGAGCTGCAGTGGTTTAAGAAACGATGCGTTAACTCCTGAACAAAGTGTAAAAGAGAGAAAGAAACACTTAAAATACTGCCTTCATTACTGGTTTAATGGAAGAACAATGGTTCTGATTGTTTTTTTCATTTATTTATTTATTAATTGATCGATTACCAAGTAGAAGTAGGTTAAAATTTCGTGTTAATCTCTCAAAAATCTTGAAATTTTGAAATAACCCAAAATTTCCACTTCCACTGGCATTTATCTCCAGCTTGCATGTTCACAAAACGACTTTAAGACTCAAAATATGAAAATACAACATTAAATAAAAAGATGTAAGCATTACATAATTTATATATCCGCTTCTATATATATATATATTTTTTTGGAGTGGGGGTTGCTTTATCTAGGTTTTTTTTTTTTGCTCTTTTGCCAGATTATGTTTATTATTATCATGTTTTTTTAAAAACTTTTGTATTAAATTATGTTATTAGTTGTTAAGCATCAGTGCAAATCTACATTATACATGCCTTACTCATACATTATAATTTAGCATTGTCATTCTTTTATTATTTAGGGTTTTTATTTTATTTTGGCAGTCTTCATCTTCCATATACCTGATATTTGAGTCGCATTTTCTGACATTGGCTATGCTGGCATAAAGTTAACAGCAATATAAGTTGTACGATAATTTAACCTTTGCCTTTCCTGTAGGAAAAACTGTATCACAGTTTAAAATGTAAGTTTATTGCAGTTCAGTGGCTCTCACTAGGGAACACAAGACTGCAGACTCCATCTCCAGTATTTTTTTTCTTTCAGAAATACATTTTCACACCTTTAAAAATAAGTAACTTTAACAATCCACAATTCAAGGGTGGACTTGTTCACAGCTCACAGGTATGTGCGGTGTGCAAGAACAGGTCCTTTGCCCTATAATATGCAGTTTAATTAAATACAGTTTGGTTGTTACCATTAAAATTTTAAAATAAGTTGGTTGTAAAATTTGAAACTTGCCAAACTTTGTGAGTGAGCTTAAGCTGCCCTCTGGGATCTGAGTCATGTTTCCCTCCACATTCCCTGTCAGGATTCCTCCTCTAATCCCACACTTCTAAATACTGAATCTGTGGGGAGGCGGTCAGCTGGTCCATCTATTACGAGGTTAAACCACTTAACCATCTTATGAGAGAGAACCGAGGCCTCGAACCTCAGCTGGCACCCTGGTATGAAGCAACACATCAGTGTACCAGAGGCCTACATGAACAGAGTAAACAAAATCTGGTGTTTACTAGACTGGAGGGGGATCGACAGATTATGCAAATGGGCTATAACCAGTGAACGGCAAGAAACATGTCAATTTGACCAAATTTGTCAGAGACTAAGTTAATAAGCTGCCTTAGGCACGATGATTTCTCAATAAATACACAGGCAGGTTTTATTTTGCAAAAGAAAGAAAGTTAACAACACACACTTATAACAGGACATTTGAAAAAAAAAAAATTATAGAAGGCTTGGTTAACCCCCCAAAAAACCCTAAACAATAAGTAAAGTTATTAAATATATAAATGTTAAAACAGCACTTGGGAGACTTGAGTTTACATTCTGCTGCTGAGAAATCAGACCTGAGGCATGCAATGACACAATACTGCCCTCTACAGGCCAGAGAGTAGCATCGCATGCAATTACAAAACGTGACTCAACATTTTCTGCAGACGTTCATTAACTCATCCATCACAAGCCGAGTCTCACGGTGCAAGCAGCAGCTCCAGGGCGCTCTATGAAAAATGCAGTATTACAATACAGGTGCTACATTTATTTTATTTTCATACAGGTCATAAAAAATAGGGATTTTTTTTTTTACAATTATTTTCACATTGTTGAAAATATTTAAGATATTTAACTTCAGTTCACACGGCTCTTTTTCAGCCTGGGGGTCTCTGCTGCTGCTTTACGTTTACGTGATGGTGTGCCTGGAGCTTCTTCAGAGGGAGCTTCAGTCAGGTGGTACAGCTCGATGGGTGGTGTTGGCTCCTTAAGCAAAGACGGGAAAAAAGGTTGTTGCTAAAAATCCATCTTTAACATTCAATTTTGTGTGGGCTGCAACATGGAAGACATCAAACGTCTTTCAAGTGAGAAATTCAGTATCAGACTCAGCTGACATAAGAGAATATATAAATGAAGAGCCCTGCTAACCTGCATGAGATAGTCTGCAATGTATTCTGGCTTCAGGCATGTGACTCCTTGTGAGGTAGCCTCTGAAACATCAACTCTGAAGTCTCCGGGTTTGAGTCGACTGAAGTCTGCAAAAAGATGTGTGGCCTCTTTGTACAGGGATGGGGAGGGACCAGGAAGGACCTGCAGAGAAATGACAGACTGTGTGTTTGCTGTGTTTGTGGAAAGAAGTCAAATGAAGCAGACAAACATAAACCCGCAAACAACACAATTCTTCAGAAAATAAATATCAACCTACTGAAGCTGTTGCTGCTTTAAGACACTTTTATGATGCTAATCTATCTTGGCTAAAGACTGCATACTGCTGGATGTGTCTCATAAAAGAAAAGCACTGAGAAACCTTCGCCCCGCCAGACTGCAGCAACCGCCTGAATCCCGATTCTCTGCTCTGGTCGATGTTCAGCATGACTGTCCATCCACTGAAGGCGCCCTGAAAAATACAGATGCCTGTTTATAGAACACAAAATGCCTCAGAGCCGTGGTTTTTATTGTGTGTATGAGCCTGGTCGTACCTCATGTTCAGAGTGTCCCTGCAGGCTTTTTCTCCAGCGCATGGCGGCTAACGCTAGTCTCTTTTGTTGGGAGGTGATGGAGGGCAATGCGTCAAGGATGGAGCTATTGCCCCACTCAAACTCCTCCTCCTAGATCACAGATTTGGAGATTTTTGGGGAAAAGTCAAGAAAACCTTTTGTGTGGTTTTTATTAGAAGTGACCCGTTCCTTGTCTAGTCTAAAATAACAGCCTAAGATGACGGCTGTGTGGTGATACTTGCATGAAGGACTCTGCTTAAAGGTATTGGTGTTATCCGAGCGCTTATATTCCACATTCCCAGACTTTCTATCATATTTACTTGTGGCGAAGATTGCTCTTCGGATTCTGACCTGAATGAAGAGACCCACAGAGCGGCACGCCTCCAGGTACGAGCGGTGCAGGATCCATTTCCCAGCTGCCATCGCTGCCAGGTACTTCTCATTACGCAGGGGTGTCCCGACGATGATGTGTGTGCAGCTGGGGTCAAAAGACTGCTTATCCAAGACTACACCACCTACAGCAACAGACAGAGACAGAAAACTACACACACGGTACACTCGGCCTGTGCAGGGATTATGGCTACAACACTGATAACTGAATGGCATGAAAATGCAATATAAATATGAAGTTTATCCTAATCCACAGACTCTATCAGACCCTCTGATAACATGTTTTCAGCACCATGGATATAGTCACCACCTGTGCACCTATTTTAAACTGGTAAACTGGTTTGGAGCTCGAAAGGTTGGATCACAGCACATTTTCCATGACCTCTGTGGTGGCAGATTTCTTTTCTCATATATTAATCACATATTTAATCATATTACATTAGTTATAGTAATATCACTTTCTCACTTTACTATAATAAGAGCACTCCTGTCACTAGTTTACATGCATGTGGAAAGTTAACACAGTGAGGCCATTGTAATGGGAGACGTTAAACAGATAGTGGGACTCCTTCTGCTTATCAGGGATGTAAATCTTTAGGTGACGGCCAAGCAGAAAACAAGGTCATAATTCTCTCTGTGAGGGAGAAGGTATAGCCCCCCCGTGAGAGGGGCCAACATGTAAGAGTTCGTGGAATGTTCTTTGTCTGTGTGTCTGTATATAAGATGTAAGGGCGGTGGCCACAATTCAGAGATGGTCCTGGTGTTTCACTGGGATGCTCTCTCCACATTGCAATGTGTTTATTAAACCCACTTCAAATCAAGCTCACTGGGTGTGTTGCAGGTTATTGTTAAATTTTCCACGACACCTCACATGTGATCGCTGACCCCTGTGTGTATTTTCATATTCTACAGGATGCAAAGAGAAGATGTGCAACTCAAAAACGGTGGAAACAGACTGGTTTTTCAGCATTTATGGCTGATGATAAATGCAACATTATCAGTGTAGCAGACATTGGTTGAATGCAACTTTTTGTTTGGTTGAAACAGGTTTCGTTTTGGATTACGGTTTGCCAATAATTAGTGATAATTAAACATGTGTAAGAGGACTGAGAATGCTTTACTGTTAGTAAATGACCTCACAGAGACAAACAAACACGTCTGTTTTTGCAGGGGTGTGTTTGTCACTTCCTCACACAGGTAGCAGTCCTTGTAGGGGAAATGCTGGTAACGGAGTAAACTTTTAGCCAATATTTGACAACCGTTTATTCTAACAACCTCAAACTCAACACTGCACTTATTTTGGTTCCCAGCAATACATCTACCACGTTTAAAGCCTCGCAGATGAACGGCTGTCAAGCTATTAAGCTAGTAAGATGCACTGAGGCAGAAATACAGTGTGAAAGTTTTAATAATGATATAACTTGTCAAGACCAGTGAAGATCTGATTCATGCTTTTTTGACAGAGGAAACAGTGCTGGAGGAACTACTTCCATATCCTGGAGGCAGATCCTCAGTTACAGTCATCAGGGATTAGCTCCTCTGACTTCCAGCCTGTGATGTGCTGCCTTTTTTACTGCAGCACGATGAAACAGCGTTAGATTGCTAATTAGATGGGAGACTCACCAAGCTCCTCTATGAGGTGACTGTAATCAATGCGCTCCTGGGGGCTGAGGGAGGACAGCTGAAATCTGGGTTGCTGTTTTTCTTCCTTCTTCTTCTCCTGAGAAAAATAAACCACCTTTTAGCACTAGTACTTTGCTTGAAAGAGACGTACAGATTGTACACTGCGCAGTACAAATGATCATTTCATTATATAACTGAATAAGCACAAGCATGCAGCTGTTTGCGTAACGCAGGAAAGTGGAGAGAAGTGTTACACAATGCTGAGCAATTAAATTTCATTTAGACCAGATTAAAGCTTCACGTGTTGTTGTCAGTACAAATTTCGAACCCTTCACCTGTGGTTCCGGTGCTACTGCGGGGTTGGCGAGAGGAAAGGCAATGCTGGGAGCTTTAGGAGTGAGGACGTCATTCTCTGGCTCCTCGGGAGGAGGCGTCAGGACTTTCTTGTTCATGTGCTGCTCAATGACGTCACAAGCAGCTGCGGGAGCGACAACGGTGAATTGTTACCAACATCTCAGAAACAGTGTTTCCCTCTTATATGCATAAACAGACTTTAAATAGACCTGAGACTAACTTGAGAGCTCTATGCTAAGATGCACCACTTCTTCACCGTATCTCTACGTCCTCCCAAAGATTAGACCTTTCATTTTCATTTGCATGATTCACAGTTCAAAATCTTCTTTATCTGTCCAGGTAAGTGTAAACCCCTCTACGCATTAATTTAGCCCATTGTACGCTTTCAAACAGTTGGTGCAGCTGGATCCTCATTTCTTACCCATCTCTACCAGCTCTGAGTCCGTCATGGAGTCCCTTAGCTGTGGTCCGCTGTCTGCAGTTGGAGGAGGAGCGAGGAGCTCAGAGTGCTGCGATGGGCTTCCAGGCCACTGTAAATTATCAGCGAGCTTGGCCCTCTCTTCTCTGGCTGTGGGGTCATCCCAAACTATCTGTTCACTCTGGGATGGCTCTGTGTTCATGTCCATAGCCGCTTCTCGAGGAACCCTGAAATCACAACAGAGCAGTCAGCTAGGTGAAGCCAAAAAAATACCATCTGTGGTGTTTATATGGTTTAGATCCTGAATTTAACACAAAAGGACAAAAAGCTCAACGCGCCCCTACTGCTCTGTAGGTAAAATGATGATATTTACTATTTCTTCTGCTGTCACCACAGCTCTGTACCCAAACATACATACAGCACCTTCCACTTTTTTTTTTTTAAACCAAATAAAAAAGCACTTTAAATTTTTTATAGTGGACTCTGCAAAACGCCCTGAGCTGCTGCCAGATTCCTTAGAGATTCAAGCTCCTTTTAGTTTTAACATAAGCAGCTTCTTTCATACCTCAGAGCTTCTAGAGTCCGTCTGTTACCGCTCCGTCCAACTCTGCTCCCTTCGGGTGTTTGGGGGCCCGAGTCTCCCCCTCCGGATCCCATCCTAGCGAGCCTGACTGAGGTACGCCTCCCTGTCGTCAGTTTAGTGGCTGACATGATCTCCTGCAGTTGTCTTTGCAGGTTCTCTCTCATCTCTAGCGTTTCTAAAATATCAGGATAGCAAAACATATGTAAACCTCATATACAACCATGTATACTGAAGACCTTTTACTTCTGTGACAGGCTTGGTTTGTCAGGATTACTCCAGAAGTTATGGACAGATTTGCAGATTAGTGGTGAGCCTTGAGAGTCTTAGACTCGTTTCAAGTACATGCAGAAGCTCAGTGGAGTTAATTACCAGCAACAGAAAAGACGCTCACCCCTCCTTTCTGTGCTATCATTCATCTCTTCTTGGTCTGTGCTTCCATCACTCACACGGCGTTGGGTTGCAGCTTCTTGTGTGGGATTGTGCACAAACTGCGACAAAGAAAACTAAAGATCAATTAAACAGGAAAAGAAAGATAATTGAGACATCCCAGCATTAATTGAACAATACATCCTGATTTTCCTGAGAAAGACCCACCTCGTCTTCCTTTGTCTCCCTGATGTCTTTGCGTTGTGTTCGTGTTAAAGGTGGTGACCTCTGAGAGTTGCTGGGCACCTGGCTCAGGTTTAAACTCATCTTAGGGTTGTAGGTGAAAGGATAGAGAGACTCCGGGACGTGCCTTTGCTCATCAGCGCACTGCGCAGGACGAAAACAGACACGTTACTGCACACAGTATTTATCTACACACCAAAACTTAACTAAACAAAACAATTATGAGGAGACACACCACTGAAACGACGCTGCCTCTGAATTTACACATCAAAGCCGTTTTTTATTTAGTATTCTGCGTTTGTTGCTGAGATGCTAATTGCTTCCCCCGGGTGAAATGTTGCAGGAGAATACAAATAATACCCAAATGAAATCAATTGCATCTTAATGCAGCTTTGTGAATCTTTATGAAGATGTAATTTCTCTAAATGCTTGTTTAAGCAAAGGAAACAGAAGCATGTGGCTTGAACCTTGGCCTTAATCCTTTTATAGGCATGGTTTATGTGCTCAGGTTGAAAGAAACTAAAGACTGAATTGTTTCCTAACATGTGTGTGTGTTAATTTTCTGCAGATCAGCTGATGCCTGCCTCTTACCCACTAAATAC